GGGAGGCGCCGGGGGGAGGGGAGTGGATGGGGGCGGAGGGGAAGCAGCGCTCCCCTCTCCCTTTCCCGGGCGCGGTGCACGAGCGAGGGCTCCGAGGATGCCGAGGCCCAGGAAGGGCGGGCGGAGGCAGCCTGGCCCACGCCAGTTGTGGCGGCGTTTGGGTGCGCTTCCAGTGTTCTCGCCTCCGGCAGCAGGACCGTTGTTCGGGGGACTCACTCGCGCACACCCCCGCGCGCGCGGACTGCTGGCCGCCCCCTGCGTTCCTGCGCCCGGGCAGGGCACCCGCGGCCCCCGAGCCCCGGGGCGCGCTTACGGGACCCGCTGGCGGCTGCGACCCCCTCTGGCTTCGCTGCTCCTTCTGGTGCCGCTCTACAACCTGTCAGATTAATTCTTTTAAAACGCAAGGGAAGATGAGGATTTTTCCTCCTTCCTCTTCTTCTTTGTCGCCTCCCTCCTTCCCCTCCTTGTCTTTCTTTTACAATAGCTAGAAATCAGTAAGTTGGAACCCTGAGCACACTTTTGGTACACTTGCTAATTTTCTGTGAAAACGTCCGCGCTGTCGTGATGTTTTCAACTCTCCTTTGAGGCCACTACAGTTGCTTGTTAGATCCTTCTCTTCCCCTCTAAGCATCATTTATTTATGCTCACAAGTTTCCTGAAATGCTTTTGCCCTATTTCATGGCTCCTGCAAAACACAATGAACTTCCAGTTAGCAGTTTTCAAGATTTGGAAGTTTATTTTATATCAGCTTCGAGAAGTCGGATCCAAAGATGTGTACTACTAATTTCTCTTGGTTCATTGAAAAGAAGGGTTTGTGCTAATATAATTGGGCAATTACATGCCAGTATCTTATATTCTGAGTAACTAATTTAAAGATAACGATATGCAATGTGTTAACCACTGTTATCCTCCTCTTATCTTGTTTTGAAATTTTTTTTCCCCTTTAAATTAAGAAGCTGGGGAAATAGCTCAGCGGCACAGTGCCTGCTGGGCAAGCCTGATGTCCTGAGTTCAATTCCCGGTACAAAAAAAAAAAAAAAAAATTAAAAAGAAGAGAAGTCAGATCCATCTAAATAGCTAATGTTGTTTTGGAGGAGAGGAACTTACTTAGCTGGAAACCCAGCCTTCTGGGCCTGGTTCTCAATCCACTTGGTTTATTGCTGTAGTTTTCCACAATTCAGTCAGCCCAGAAGTGTTTTACCCTCAACAATTTCTTCTTTGAGCTAATTTATTATTACTTAGAAATAAGTTCATAATTAAAGCTCACTGCACAGTTAATCCATTTTAGTTAATGTGGGTGATAACTAAGAATAATAAACCATAACACATATGTAAAATAATACCGACGAATTTAACACAATATAAAGTAACAGTAAAATGAATAGTAAGAGCAAGTAATAGGAATTCAGAAAAGCTAAAAGTCAGAGGGCGGAGACTGACTTCCAGGGATATTAACTTGCATGAAACTGTGTGCTTAAGAAAAGATGGGTGTGTGGATGGTCACTTCCTATGTGACAGTTTGTAGTACATTGGTAAGGTCCAGCACGGCAGGATGTGAGACACCGAAAACAAACAAACAGCCTAAGTGTTCGTTCAATCACTGATTTTCGGTTCTCATCCTGTTCCCAGCAGCGCTCCGGTTAGTGTTAAAAAGGTCAAACCAGAGCCAAAGAGAAGTTTCGTATCCAATAGAACCTTTGGGTCTGGGGAACAGTCTCAAAAGAAGTAAAGCAACAGTGACTTCATTTTCTTTTTTCAGCTTAAACTATTAACCAGGTACAAAACCCCGAAACAGAAGAGAATGGCCATCCCCCATCACCTTGATCAGATCTCTGGTTTTGTTCAACAAGACAATCCTTTAGTTTCCCTTGTGCGGCCAGCCCTCTGATTTTGTTGAGTAAAACTGCTTGGAGTATTTAAATGGACGTTAATGATAAACTTGGTAGTGCAAAGACTATATTTATTACTCACTCCTTAATGGACCAGTGTCTCTAGGCTTCTAGAACCTTTCTCCTTTACAATTTCGCAGTAGTAACTTGAATTTTTCTGTTTCTTTTATATTTTGGGTGAAGAGTTCCCTCTCAATTTTGCTTGTGTTCTTCACTTGTTTATTACAAAAATAAACCTTTCAGAAATGTCAATTTCAGAAACTTACAGGAAAACAGGTGATGAAATGGTTTGGGAGGCATATTGATAATTTACTTTTAAAAAGAAAGCTTTTGATACATAGGACTCTTTGCTATACATGTTTGACTAGTGACCCGTTGAAATAAGGTAGTTTGATATTTTGAGAATTAAATTCTCAGCATTTCACTCTGCGTGTGTGTTTCTGTGCGTGTGTGTGTGTGTGTGAGTGTGTGTGTGTTTGATAAGGATAGACATGCTTGTTCTTTCTGGAAAACAATATATGACATATAATACATTTTGCAAGGATATTCTAGGCTGATATTGACGGCAGCTGTAACCTGTAGTTTAGGTAGGCTGGATGTAGGACCAGACACTTCCAATGCCAAAAGCCTTTTCCTTGATTCTTTATGAATGCTAAGAAAATATTAGGGAGACATTTTAGAAGCACTGTAAGAGTATCTGTTGCTGTGGGAAAGCACGTTTTCCTGTACTTACATTGTTCTTCAAAGTATCAGTAGGGTGAAGCGTAAGCATTCGAGTCAGAGGTCGTCTGTAATCACAGACTCTGCCTGAAACCCAAGCAAGCCAGAAATGAGCAACATGTATCGCTGCACCGCAAAATAGAGTCTGAAGCCAAAAGCCTGATCCTGCGTATTTTGCCCCTAGACTGGCCCTGCAGATTTTCCTGGGAGCCTAAGCATTCTGATTTCCAGGTTTGAGGCTTTTCTTACCTGTTCTTCTCAATAGCAACACATGAGTTGAAGAGGAAGAAATAGCTAGAAGCAGATGTTTTTACAACTGCCAGGAGTACTGTCAGGAGAAAGAAAACAGAACAGTAAGCAGCGTACGCAGATTTTCTAAGAGCAGAGTATTAATTTGGAGACAGTTAATATAGAGACAAACATTCTCAGATGGCGAGACTCTAGCTAAGTGCGCAGAGGCGTGGCTTTCATTGCTGGTGTTCTCACTAGTGGTGTGAGCATGAAGGAGATGTTTCCCCTTTGTGTGCATCACGTAGCTGTCTGTAAAAGGATAATATTTCACAGGAGTTTGAAAGGGGTAATCCATTCTATGAAAATAGCAGAATGGTGTCTAGCACATGGAAATTGCAATAGATCTTGAATACCACTGTGTTATTAAAACACCCAAAAAAGAAAAGAAAAGCATTGAAGTTTTTCCAATATTTTTCCTTTTAAAAGGCTAGAGGGGTGCATTTTAGGTGCACTCATCCATGTAAAGTGATTGCAGGATGTAGAGAACTGGCACTGTTGTGCTTTACTGGTGGGAATATTGTAGCCACTCTGGAAAA